CTAAAATATGCAGAATAAGACATTAACATGTGCTTTATAAGTGCTAATAAACAGCCCAATATGCTAGTAATATGCATGCTAAATATGCAAATGGTATTTAACCTGAAAACCATTCAAACATCAAATAGATCTGGATCATGGTTTTACAAACTAAAACAACAAACACAAAGAGGGCACCTTGTCTCCTCATTTCAGAAGACCTCCACACACCAAATTTGAGGAAAAGAAAAAAAAAACACATCTGCTTTAAGGAACATTATCTCATAGAGTTCATTAATCTGCCGCCAGAGATGAAAAAAAGACATGCCTTAATCTTCCAAAAGTTCGATTGATTTTCTCCATATAGATGCAATCATTACAGCAGCCAACATGAAAAATGAAAAGATGTCTTAAAGCAGACTTTTTTAACATATGAGAGGATTATGTGTCCTGCATCATGCTCTGTACAGATCCTCATTCTGCACATCTATGTATTAAAATGTAAACTATGTATTAAAATGTAAACAGGAAATGAAGAATTGGATATGATTGGGGCTCAGATAGTGCCACGTTATCAAAGGCAGTACATCTAAAGCATCTATCATGTATTTACCTATAGACCAATGAGCTACCAAAAAAACATGGCAGCTGTGATTACAGCTGTACTTTATGAAATATGTGGTAGGAACGTTTTTAAATTTGCTGTATAAAAAATGTATAAACTCACATGAACTGATATAATGTTATAATACCAACCTACTAAAGTACTAAATTCTGTTTTGTACCTTTTAATATACTGACAACCACCAAAAAAACACAGGTGATAATGAGAAAGTCTCACAATGAATCAAAGCTCATCACAAGCGGCTTTTCCACAAGCTAAGGAGGTAAATACTAATATATATGCAGAGTGTCATGCACACAAATACAAAACAACAACACGCAACACTAAAATAATGAAAAAAACATTCGCTTAACACCATAAAACCTGTACTAAAATCTACATAAATGCTAAAAAAAAACAGTTATTTAAATGAAAAACCATCAGATGTGAAGTGTCACAAAGGGAATTATGGGAAAATTTGGGATAATTCTCCTAAAATATTTATGTATATATATATATATATATATATATAAAGCATTTAAAATTGTATTTTGTCCTCCATATATTTTCATTTTAAGAAAATACATTCACATGTTACATTTGAAAAATAAACATTTGTTATAACAAGTGTGAGCATATAACTCTTTTTAAAAATTGTATTAAATAATTTACATTTAGACTAAATATAGGATACTGTAATATTGGAAGTCCTCCATATATTTTCATTTTAAGAAAATACATTCACATGTTACATTTGAAAAATAAACATTTGTTATAACAAGTGTGAGCATATAACACTTTTTAAAAATGTTATTAAATAATTTACATTTAGACTAAATATAGGACACTGTAATATTGGAAATGTATTTTCATGCCCCTGAAATACATTTTGAAATATATTTTGGTATATGAAGGTTCCAACTACATATATTTTCTATTTCAAAAACATTTAATTTAACTTCATTGTTACGACATATATTAAACATATATTTAAAAATATATATATTTTGGCTAGAAAATGCTGTGTGGGCTTTCACTTCCAAAAACTGTAAATCCAACTGTATGTAAAATGACATGAATTGTCATGTTAGATTTATTACTGTTTTTCACTGTTTATAGTAAGGGAACTTGCCCTTAACCAAGTCACAGATTTTTACTGTTAAAATTGTGATAATTTCTTACAGTGTAAACTAGATTCAGAATAAAGTGCATGCCATAATCTCATGGAATTCCCTATAGGTGACCTGCGTCTGTATGGTTGCGTGTCTGCGCAGCCATTGATTAAAGATCAGCATCGTACTGAAATGCACACAGGGATAAGAAAGTGTCTTTGATTGTGGTTGGTGCGTTCATCAGATAATCTGGTTTCTGCTCTTGCTGGTAGGCAGATGGCATTGAAACGAGGACAGTACGCAGACCCTGTTTTGGCCCCTAAGCCCCAGCATACCATTTGATTAATATGGCATTTTTATTCATTTTAAACCAGCCAAGGCATTGGCAGACCCTTGAACACAGCATCTTCGGTCTCCAACCCTGATGAGGAAAGTTCTCATAACCCAAATGTTTCTCTTGAGAAGAGAGCCACTACTTTTGCATATGTGCCTTTCTGACTTCCTAATTCAATTTGCCGCTTAGTACTACAGTACAAGCACTAACATTTAGGTCAACACAGACCTAACTGTTTTATATTTAGTCACTGGCCGTTGTATTTGGAAGCACTACTTTGGTGTCTGATTAGAGATATCTTGGCTACTGTGCATATACATTTGGTCCTTAGCTTCCTTAGATTAGAGGTAATTAACAACCCTGACCCCGCGTAATGACTCCCTAGTGTGTGTGTTTGTGTTCGCTGGGCATCTGGAACACTGACCCATCCTGAAGTGTGTGTGTGGAGTGACAATCAACTTCCTTTTAAGACTGCTGCACCATAGGAGGCAAGTAGCACATCCAGCATGTGATCATTTGGTGTGGATAGTTTTATTCTATCTTTGTGGTTGCATGTTATAGATCTTTCACAAGCAGCATGGCTGTTAAATCCTTAATGAATACTAGCAGTTCACCAAATTTCATGTTTTAGAGGGTTACTCTCTGTTTTTTTTTTGTTTTTTTTTGCAGAATTTCTGAACTACTCTTTTCTTGCTCGTTTATTAAAGATATTAGAGATTGGAGAAAAGAGTTAAACAACCATAAAAGTAACAAAAGTAGTCCACATGACTAATTCTAAGACTTCTGAAGCCATGCGATAGCTTTGTTGGAGGAACAGACCAATATTTCAGATGTTATTCTAATTATTATCTTCAAACTATTATTTTCCTTTCTGCTGTAGCTCCCAAATATTTATCACATTTCAGAATATGTATAAGAATATTTATCATTTATCAATTATTTAAGAAGCAATGATGTCACTGACATCTGGAGGTGCCATGTTTGAAAGGATAATGCAGAGTTATTTGCATTAATATATCATAAGGATTCAGAAGACGTGAATATAGTGCATAAGTCACTTTATGGTGCTTTGTGTCATTTTTGCAGGTTGCCAATAAAAATCACCATGAATTTTCATGTATGGAAAATACATAATAATGCATTCTAAAAAATATTATTTTGTGTTCCACAAAAGAAAGAAAATAATATGACGGACAGCATTTAAACAGCAGAGCATGGCACTAGCAATGCCAAGATCATGGGTTCAATTCCCAAGGAATGCATGAACTGATAAAATGCGAATGCAATGCACCGTGTGTCACTTCGGATAAGCATCTGCCAAATGTAAATACATATATTGTAAAATAGTGGGATGTGCTATTTTTATACAAATGCATATTGAAAAAATTGATCGTAAGTGTTAGTAAAGATTGCTAGTGATTTAATTCAGCAATCTAAATTAATATGTATCAGGTGCTCTAATTAACGACAAACCTGTATGTGACATTCATTGTAATTGATTTGCTGTAAGTCTATTAAAATTTATATTTGTTAAATGTATCATGTTCCACAATTGCAAGTGCCTGATTAAGGATATTAAATGTTAAAAATAATGTTTTTCAAAAATAATGTTAAATGACTATAACTGCCAATGTTGTCCTTAGAAATATTCTATTTAATATAAGTATCTGTATTGGTATCATTGCCAATATTGGCTTTGATAGTACTTGGTAAATGTGGTTTTGAAAAAGCAATAAGAAACTGATGACAAAAGTAACAGCCCTTATAAACTCTCGCTTTTTTAAAGGGGTCCTATTATGCTCTTTCACAAAGTCTTGATTTTGTTTTGGAGGTGTACTAGAGCAGGCTCTCATACTAGGTTGTTCGAAAAACACATAATTTTTCACATATTTTACATTATTACAACACCTCTCTCCCCAGTCTGGCATGAACGGCTCTAATAGTTCCTGTATCAAATGAAGGCCCACCTTCTGAACTATGAAATGTGCTGTGATTGGTTAGTTGGGCCAGTGTGTGCTGTAATTGGTTAGCTGGGCCAGTGTGTGCTGTGGTCAAAATCAAATCAATTTGAGCGTGATTTAAACCCGGATGATTGTAACCACTCTAAGTTTGTCGGCCTTGGGAAAGTTAGCGTGTCTCCCGCATAGTGATAACACTCGTTGCCTTCTCTAGTGCAGCTCAAAGAGGTCTCATCCCATTCGTCGATATTTGTGATATCACAAATCCTGGAAAATATACGTTGTAGTCCAAACGAGTCGTTCGTTGTAGTTTTTGAAAAGTGATTTCTGTTAAATAAAATATCTCCTTTTGAAGTGGACTTTGAGCTTTGTAACTTTGCAGATCTTTTTTATGCTCAAACAGCAACATTACAGACTAACTAAAGTTGAAAAAGTGAAAAAGCATAATACCCCCATTAACACAAACTCAGGGATATCTACACTTTATAACAGAATACATACATTGGTTTGTACATCTGTGCTCATCATGTTTTCTCTCATTGTACCAGATTCACAATGGTTCAGATTCAGTGTAATTTATTAAGATTCTCACAAATAGGGACCTCAAGGATGAGTAAATGTAACCCCTCTCTCCCGGGTCCTCACCGCCATACCTCATTCTCGTTCCGAGTGGGTCTCCGGCATGGGAGGCGGACGCACTAACAAGGAGGCTAAAGACTGCAGCCCCTAGCGTCAGTCGCTAGTGCGCCTCTTGAGATCAGGGGAGTGAGGTTTACCTGCACAGCACCTACTCGCTGGCCTCCATTACACTCACCACCTAAGCCTCACTCCCATCAGGGTCACGGCACCAATGTAACCCCTCTCTCCCGGCCCTCTCTCCCGGGTCCTCACCGCCACACCTCGTTCTCGTTCCGAGTGGGTCTCGAACCCTGGTCTCAGACTCAGGGGAGAGAGGTTTACCTGCACAGCACCTACTCGCTGGCCTCCGTTACATAAAATATGTCCACTCTTACCTGGAAACCACTAGAGGCAGGATGAGCATCTTCAACATCCGCATCAGCAACTCCCCCGGGAACTGGAAGAACTTCACCTCCTTGGAGAAACAGAACCAACAGCATATAAATACCTGCAGCTGTCTGTCATTAATGCTAATCAACAACAAAACACATCTTTCACAAAGATTAATCTATATTTAATTTATACAGTGAACACTTTGCAGTATTATTTTACACATAATTACTGTTAGACCAGTTTTTTTGTTTGTTTTTTTTTGCTGTGGTATTGAAGAAGTACTTAAAGTGTGCTTTAAGTAGTAAATGCAAAGCAAAGTTACACTGATATAATTTTTTTTTTCTTGTTGATGCAAAAAATGATCTGATCCAAACCTGCACTAAAATCCAAACCGCGAGTTTTGTGAGCCGTTGAAGCACTAATTATTAATGTAAAACATATTCAAATGTCTCTTTTAAACAACTTTCTGTGGATCATAGTACAGTAATAGCGAAAAGTTAACTGCGCCAGACAAATAATTTTGTTGATAAGTCACAATCTATAATATGCCTAATTTACATAAAAACAGGTGTTTTATTTTGAACAGAATGACAGTGACTGTTTAATGACTTTTGATGTTACAGTCCTTTTAATTTCATCATTAGTTCATGAAAAAAAACAGTTCTACTATAATCCATATTGTCTAATATCATCATGTCTCTTCCAAGATAGTACTACATAAAAATACTGCAGCTCAAGAAAGTTGCTGAAGAAGAACCTAACCCTAACCCTAACCCTAAGCAAGAGAAAGACTTATTGAAGACCATATTGTGTTTGAAGCGAGCTGAGAGACATGATGCTGGTGTTAATGCGCTTATAGGCCTGCATTAAGGAGGGGGCAGGGACTTGTGAAGCTCAGATCAGGGCCACTGTCCAAGTAGCATCATGATCAATGCTGATAAATGGCTTTCTTGTGCTACTTGCTAATGCTAACATAAAAACAGCTGGCACCGAGCCCCTACATCTGCCACTGGCATCCCTGACTCGGGTCATTTAAAGTCTGTAAAGCTGCCATGTGGCGTAATCTAAACGGACAGGGATGCCAGAGCTTACTGCTAAACATTACAGTGGTGTAATAACTGACTGAAAATATAGTGACAAACTTCAACTCAATTAAATAATCAACTGTCAATATTGATTATCAACTGATCACATTTGTCTTTTTGGCTATTGTCAGAGTCTGAGCAAGTTCATGCGATTTATTATTATTATTATTATTATTATTATGGATGATTTATGCAGTTAAGCAGTCACTCATCTCAGCATCAAACCAGCTGTACTGTTGTACAACATCTGCACTTACTTCCACAATATATTATATAATAAATGTAGTTATATTCCTGGATATGAATTTTGACCAGAATAATCTGGATGTGGACAAGACTTAAAGCTCATAGATAAAAGTATTCCATATTAGCAAACTAAACAAGTGTAAACGTACAACAATTAAAAAAAAAATTATATCTTCTACACTTGACTATAATAATACTTAATAAACAAACAAACAAACACTTTGGACCAACTTTAAAACACAATCTAAATCCAAATGTATTGTTATTATTATTATTATTTTTTTAAAATCAAATTATGTTTATGGTTTTGTTCAAACTTTACATTTTGATTTAATATTAATCACAAATATTTATTTTCCCAAATATAAAACCATTGATCCCCCAAAAAATATATATATATATATTATAAAGACCAATTTAATCAATATATCTTCTTTACTCATAAGCAAAAATGTTAAGGTAATATAATATAATATTTGTTTAATTTCACCATAAACCAAAACTAAATTACCTACAATATGAAAGTAGAATTTTCACTTAAGATAAAACTCAATGACTAAATAATAACAAAAACTAAAAAAGTAAATGTTTAATTTAGTTTGTTTCAAATATCTTTGATCTTCTTATTTTTTAAATAAACATAATACTTTCTGTTAAGAACTACAAATAAAAATAATAATAATAGACAAATAGACACCAAAAGACTCCAGCTTCACCTATTTTCAAACAAATAGGTTTGTTCATTAACCTCATGACAGGACTAGTGAGAGTTGTTTGACTCGAGATGGATGAGAAGATGTGATGAGATTTTCAACTTTAGATCCTTATTGCAATAATGCTTCAGCGTTTCAGATGATTGACTGATAATCCCTCAGGGCCACGAGATGCCTGCTTTACTCGTGTCATAATGACAGAGAGCTTTGATGGAGAGCACATCTCACTTTATCAATGAAACAGCTAGTGAAATGAACAGACTCAGCCCTGTAGACAGATTATTGTCCAATGTAGTGTTGTTTTATGCACTGCAAAAAATATTTTTTTTCAAAGTTGTAAATAAAACAAATATTACTGGAATGTGTTTCACAAGAAAATACTATTTCAGTTTTTCTACTTCAAAAATTCACATTATGTTACTTGCCATGTCTTTGCAAATATTTGTGAAATTAACTATCAAATTCTGAGTGAAAATTGTTTTAGTAAATCCTTCACCTTTTTGTTTTCTGTGTACCATCTTGTTTTGGTCAATAACAAATAAAAATGTCTCTTTGCATTCACACTGGTTTTGAAAAACGTTTATACCATTTTCAACAACAACAAAAAAAACCCCATTACAATGTCATTTGGTGTAACCAACCAAAGTAAACAACCATATTTTCATATCTGAATACATTCGAGTGTACACATCTTAAAAATTCATTTTTAAGGTTACTTTTTCAAGGTAAAAGTATTTTTCTTACAAATAGCGTGAATTATTCATTCACAAATATCAATACATTTTGGGGTGTTACACGCATGACATTTTACAGCCTGAACTAACCTTGCCTTGTCACAAAAAGGGTCACATTTTCTCATAGTTTGAGAGACTTATTGACCTTGACACACAGTCATGAAATCATTTTCTGTTTTGTTTGTTTCTGCATGCTGGTTGCACCACATGACTTCGATTTGTAAAGTGAAGCAATTTAGATTTGTTCTAATTCAGAAGATTCAGTAAAGCATTATTTTTAATTTTTTTCTAATCCAGAAATTAAAAACATACACTGTAAAAAATGATTGTGATTTTAACAGTAAAAGACTATAAAAATGCTACAGTAAAAACCCGTTAACTGGTTAACAGTAAGTTTCCATACTATATTCGGTGAATAAATGTAATTATTGTAACAAACTGTAAATTGACACTCCCAGAATTCCCTGCATGACACTTCCTATTTGATGTTTTTTTGTTGAAATAACATGTTTTTTCTTAGTTTGTTTCTTATCAGGGGTTTAATCTTACATCTAATGTTGTTAAATGAATGTTCATTGCATTATTTCAGTATCATGTGTGTCACCATGATGGGGTTTAGTGTTTGTGTGAATGACACTGTGCACCTTCTATATA